GACCCTTGACCTCGATCACTTATTTTGTTGCTTTGTCCGGGGTTACATCTCGATCATTGATTATGTGGTTTCCGATATACGGTCAGTATCGGTCCCTGATCGGACCTTGTTCTCGATTGATATCCTTTCAAGCAGCGGGTTCAGACCCCAACTGATCATCTTCGACTCTAATTTTGGATTGGTATCGATTATGCACGTCGGCCCAAGTAATAGCTAGGTACTCGATCAGATTATGCTTCAACCGCCGTGAAGCCATCGAATTTCGTTCGTTCAAACCTTGAGTGAAAGCCTGAACAACCCAATCGTCTGTGACTGGAGGCAGATCCATTCGTTCCATTTGAAAACGAGATACGAACTCCCTTAACATCTCGTTATCCTTTTGTCTTACTTTGAACAGGTCCAACTTCCTCGTCTCGACTTTTATGGCCCCGACGTGTGCTTTTGCGAAGGAGTCTGTAAGCATAGCAAAAGAATCGATAGAATCAGATGGTAAATTATGATACCATATCATTGCTCCCTTTGATAGGGTTTTACCAAATTTCTTCAATAATACGGATTCGATCTCATCATCCTCTAGATCGTTCCCTTTGATGGCACATGTGTATGAGGTGACATGTTCGTTGGGATCGTTAGTTTCGTTATATTTAGGAATCTAGGGCATGCGAAATTTCTTTGGGATCGGTTTAGGAGCCGCGCTTGGGGGGAATGGCTTTTGTACGAATTGTTTGGAATCTAAGCCCTTCAATATCGGTGGTGTCCCCGGGATCTGATCAACCCTGGAGTTAAATATTTCCACTTTTTTGTCGTTTGCTTCGATCCTTCTTTTTCCTCCGATTCTATTCGTTTGGTCAGTTCTTCGAACATCTTAGCAATTTCGGGGTTAGTCCCCGACTCCTGCTCATTTGATCTCACTATAGCTGGTTCCGTTGTATGTGCGTTTTCTCGAGGTTGACTGGGCTCTGGCCTGCTCGGTATTTGGGTTTGACTCTGCAACTGAGCTATTGCTGCATTTTGAGCTTGCAACATTTCGAAAATCATATGCAAGCTGACGCCGTTTTCCTTGACGTTATGGGTATCTCGAGCCGCGGATTGAGTGCCACCATGAACGTTATTTTCAGGTTCAGAATGTAGGTTCGCCTCAATGGCCACATGCGAATTAATGTCTATCGGCAGTTCGATTCGAGCTCCAACGGCGTTGACAAGTGGTCCTTCGGTACTGGCTGTCAAGTTGTTCTCATCTTGAAGACCAGTTTCGTTGTCGATAGGTAAGGCTATTTAATTGATAGTTAGTTGTTGCTAATCCGAAATCAAAGATACTTCCAGAAACAAGCACAGAACGGTGTGTTTCTGCAGATTCGTATCAAATAACCACTGTTATTCTTAGCCCCACGGTGGGCGCCAAATTATTTACCCGTAAAACGGATAGAGTTGAATTTGTACGTAGTTCCTAAGGATATGTGGTGTAACTTAACACAAATCATATGGATAAATAGAAATTATCAAATACGGATTGTAAAGAATGAAAAATACACAAGGTTAGAAAGAAGATAATTTAAGGACTAAGCAGGATGAATCAATCTGTGAAGCCAAAAAGTATAATCCTACAATATAGTGTATGGTATTTTGGTTACAATGTAAGCAAAAACTATCCTTTTACAGAAATGTAGCCATCCTCTTTATAGTGAAGGATCCTACTTTAGATATAATTAAAAATATATAGTGGGGAACCCATGATAAATCACTTTTTCCCTAATTCCTGCCGAGATTCTCTCCCTTAGTGCGGTTGCAATGACTCTTGTCTGTGAGCTCGAGCTTGATCGGACTCGGTGCTGGTCGGTATTGTTTTTAGAGCTCGATGAGGACTTGAGCTCGATGCCGACTCGGGATCTGGTAATGAATCGGGCTCGGTATCGGTTGTCTTTTGCCCCTTAAGCTCGATTCCATAACATCTCATCATAGTTCGATTCGGACCCGAGCTCAATAATGACTTTGAACTCGGTGTTTGACCTATACCTGAAATCTGAAGGTCGTTCGTACCATCTTCGGAACCCATCATAATATTACGAAGTCTTCCTTTGGTCCATTATTATCCCATATCGATCAATCGTACGAAAGCCGAAATCAACTTCGACCGTATACAGACTGATGAGTAATGCATGCCATTGCTATGTAAGCTAGTAGCTATCCTCTTAATAAGGAATCTTGCAAGAACCATTAATGTGCAAGAAGTTCCTTAATAAGAGAGCCGAACCTGAGCCTTGAATACGGAGTAGTCTATGGTAGGGAGTGCCTTACCCCCCAAAGTTTTTTTTCAAAGTACGAATCTAGATTAGCCACAACCCAAATAGGCTACCGAACGTTTGGTAGGAATTTAAACAAAAAATCTATCTATTAACTTTTCAAGAAGATATAATCTGCATTTAAAAGATTCTTCTTCCTCACTTAAAATTCAATAGTGCAAAGACTGTCATTAACATCATAACATAGGTGTAGATGGAGATTTCAGCTGCAAAAGGTCAAGACAAATAGGACCATTTTAAAATATAATTAATAGGAAGTAGTAAATCCAGAATTAAATGCTAATTATTGAATTCTTAATCCTAAAATAGATAACTATATTAGGAACACACCATGTGGACTCCAAGTATGAGCAAAATTTTATCAACCAGCAGTACAAAGGTATGAAACAGAACATTGAATTAATACAGCTACAATGGCTATCTCATACAACACAACATCCTTTTTGTTCTTTGCTGTTCTTTTGCTCCTCGTACCCAAAAATCATTCCTTAACCTCAGATGATTTAGTATCTGAATTGATCATCCTTCGTTTTCAATCTTCCACTGTTGTGGTTCACCTTTCTAACAAACTACTTAGACGAATTTTATCGATACCTGTCCCTAGGCCATTTTCTTTCGTTATATTCTTCGATTTACAGAAGCTACATTCAGAGCCAGAGATTTCATTTCCAAGTCATACAAAAGAGTTCTTGCTTCTCCCCTCCTCATTCGAAACAAACAATCCACATAACAAGTTATTTTTCTCTGACATTAAGTTTCAAGAATCATAAGCTTCTTTTGCTCTGTTTGGAGCCAAATCTCTCCCCTATATATGTTTAGTCCCCCCTTTAGCCACTAATTTCAAAAGGGATTCTATTCGAATGAAGTCCTCAGATTTCTCTGGGCATGCTGAATCGATGGCAGAATTCATCGAGGCTCACTGGTGGTCCCATACATCGGCCAGGTTTCATTTCCATGAAACAAAAGATAATTATCATCTCTTTGGGGCTAATTTTGACTCCATTTCTAGTGAAAAAGATTGTTGCTGGAAACACCTTTTTGCATAACAAGCATATAGGGATGGCGGGGTCAGTTTTCGGTACTTCTTCAGTGTTTCAGGGACAATGTACAACATAATCAATAAAATACCAATTGCTATGGTGGATAGAGATGATCCTAAGAAGTTGGTTTTCTTTTATGAAGGAAATGGGATGCAGTTAGGGGCCGAGGGGTTTACCGTCGGGTTCTTGTACACGATTTTCGGGCTGTTGTTGGCCTTTATCACTCATGTTCTTGTCCATGTGAAGAATAGGAATATCCAGAGGTTGGTGATGCTTTTAGCTATCTTTGTTTCATTCTGGGCTGTAAAGAAGGTGATTTACATGTATAATTGGAACTGGTTTTGGTCCTCATGTTTACTGACCCCAAGTTGGAAATGATAGCAATGTAGTATTGTTGGGTAAATTGTTTGGCTGATATACAATATTTAAGGATATTGTACCAGCTTATACTAGTTGCTACTAAGTAGTGACACATAGACAGAGAATTGGTTACCTACTCTTAACGGGTAAAGCGAGCCCTTTTATGTGAAGTAAAGAAACCAGAATTAATCAAATCTCTCCAAGTAAGATTCAAACCTACAACAGAATATTATTAGCTTCTTTCTAGATGGATGGATCTTTTCTATTTTATATGGAAGCATCTCTGGTCATAATTGATATTATTAGCTATTTTTTTTCTTTTCAAATGTACATATATTGATTGTTGAATCCCATTAACACAAGGGAAGTTTCTTTTGTAGTGACAAAAATGTTTTAGGTCATCAATTCGACTCCCCGCTGTGACATTTTAGCATTTAAACGTCATGTTTCCGCCACCATTATCCATATTGTCAAACTAAGAAAGCTCGGTTTTAATCAGAAAGGGGGAGCTAATGAAAAGGGTAAAAACATCGAGCAATTGTAAATGAGGCCGAAATAATCCCGGAATTCCTTACATGTATAGAAAGGATACTTTCCTTTTGGCAGCCATTGTACATACCAAAGTACTACCTTTTTGGTGATTATTAATCTACAAGTTTACATTACCTTCTCAAAAATATAGTGAGCAATGGACAGTTTTACACTCAAGTGGCCAAGAGGATAAGGTCAATGTAGAATATCCCTCTTTTACTGCTCCTATAGAAGAATTAGTTCGGACTTAATTTAACTAATATATATATACCTTTTTTTTAATTTCAACTATATAGCTCGAGCTAGAGGCAGTAGGTACGCTCATCCTCTGCCTCAACTACACAAGCTGGCAAGAACCAATGGCGGAACCAGGAATTTACACAAGGGGATTCCAAAAAATACTACAATGTCTAACCACTTGTGATCTTAAACAATTTTTGAACCCCCTTTGTCACTACACTAGATTTTTTTCCTTGTGTCAAGGGGATTCAACAATTTCTATATAACCAAAAAAAATTATTTTCTTTCTCTATTTTCATAGTATAACTTTTTGACGAAGGAACTTCAATTGAATCCCCTTACTCCTAGCTGGCTCAGCTCCTGGCCCCAACACCATATAAGCAGACAGACAACGCATCCCTCAACCAATATGAAAAAAACAACCATCCCTACTAATATGGGACACATAACAAGAGGAATCAAACCCCCAAAGTTGGTTGCAATGCACTAAGATACAATTGTGAAAGGAGAGAATCAAGAGTATTATAACCTTGAAGCACTGGTTCTACTGCTGCATCCGGGATAAGCAACCCTACAATTCGTTGATTGTCAGTAGTTGTCACAATCCGTACAATGCGGATTCTCTGATGGCTTTGGCGAGCCTGTATCCAACAACAATTGGGAACCAATAAACGAGTGAGGATGGTGCAACAACCCTTTTAGAAGAAAATTATCTCTCTCGACGCAAGAAATACAGCACAAACGATCGTAAGCAAAATTTCTGGTGCCTCGTGAAATCTCAGATTGAGCCTGCTCACTTTAAACCTACAGTATCCCTTTTTTGTGCGGCAAGTGTCAACTATGGTAGTGATATCTGGCAGTTGGAATACTGTACTTGAATCTTGATAAATCAACTAAATTTACTGGCAAATGATTTCAGCCAAAGAATAGCACGATGTGCTATCTAATTCATTGGTAACTTCACTTGTATTAGTGTTACATAATGAAAAGCGGAAAAAATCAGTCATGACCACCTATCTTCCTCACATATAAAAGTACATGCAGAGGGAAAACAGCAAACAGTCAGAACCCAGAACCTTCAGATCAGAAGATAAAACCATCTATAGTGAATCAGCCAAAAATCTGTGAAACAGTAGGGATGCAGGCATTGTCATGTTGGTGTGGGATAGATAGAAACACTTTTATGTGAAGTAAAGAAACCAGAATTAATCAAATCTCTCCAAGTAAGATTCAAACCTACAACAGAATATTATTAGCTTCTTTCTAGATGGATGAATCTTTTCTATTTTATATGGAAGCATCTCTGGTCATAATTGAATATTATTAGCCTTTTTTTTTCTTTTCAAATGTACATGTATTGATTGTTGAATCCCATTAACACAACGGAAGTTTCTTTTGTAGTGACAAAAATGTTTTAGGTCATCATTTCGACTCCCCGCTGTGGCATTTTAGCATTTGAATGTCCTGTCTCCGCCACCATTATCCATATTGTCAAACTAAGAAAGTTCGGTTTTAATCAGAAAGGGGGAGCTAATGAAAAGGGTAAAAACATCAAGCAATTGTAAATGAGGCCGAAATAATCCCGGAATTCCCTACATGCATAGAAAGGATACTTTCCTTTTGGCAGCCATAAGTAACCTTTTTGGTGCTTATTAATCTATAAGCTTACATTACCTTCTCAAAAATAGTGAGCAATGGACAGTTTTACACTGAAGAACAGTATAAAACCATAAAAAAATAACTGAGAAAAGAGGTGTTACTTCAGATAAAAAAAACCTACATATATAAATGGTGATGTCCCCTTTTCCGGCATTTCAAAGTCAAGACTAACAGGAGTACATCTTCTAAACTCAAAGCTCTCTTGTAAAACTCTGTCTAGGGTTTCGAAAACAGATCAGGAGATATATAGAAAATATGCAAATTTTGTCCTTGTACTATACAAAATACTATCTTAATTTGAAAGAAACAAGCACCAAGGCAAAAAGAGTATACAAAACTGATGCAATGAGATATTTTCTTCAGTGTTTGATTAGTAGCTTATTGTAATTAATCTTGGCTATATAGCCAAGAAGAATTACAACAAGTTATTATCAAACACTTTCTATTCTTCTTGGATGATTTGTTTTCCTCCATTGGCATTGAATACATAGAGGAGAACATATTCATCCAACGGCAAGCAGAAGCAGATATCGACCCGTGAAAGCAGAAATCGACCCGTGAATTCTCCATATGGAGAGGCAAGCACAAATGCACAGTGAACTCATTGGGAACTTGACAGAGACGAACAAGGAATATGCGGAGCATATCCGTCTTATGTTTTTGGGCTGGGGTTTATGGAAAATTGACAAGTGAGCCCACCCAATTGATATCCCATTATTATATAGTACAACCTACCAAACAAACAAAAAAACAATTTAAATAATAATTTTCCAATTTGGATTACAAATTAGGTCAACTTTAAATATGTTAAATTTGTGCGGAGCAAAATGAACCGGTTTAATAAATGGAATACACTCAAGGCGAATCATACACCCTTAATATAAAGGATAAAACATTGAGAATCGCATGCAAATGCTTATTCTAGGTGATTGTAGATGTGATTAAAACGATTCAATCATTTAAAATAATAATTCTTTTTTAGAAAAATAGTGAAAAGCTCCTTTTACATATAAACTCAAATGATTTCAAAAATCATACGCAAGCTGATTCCGTTTTCCTCAGCGTTTTGGGTATTTCGAGCTGCAGATCGAGTTCCACCATGAATGTTATTTTCAGGGTCGGAACGTTAGTTTGCCTCGATGGCCACATGTGAGTTAACGTCTATTGGTTCCTCAACTCGAGCTCCAACGATATCGACAAGTGGCCTTTCACCCCCGGCTGTTAAGTTGTTGTTTTCATCTTGAAGGCCAGCTTCGTTTTCGATGGGTTGGGCTATTAATTGAGAATTCGTCGTTTTCAGCATGAAATCAAAGACACTTCCAAGAGCAAGGGTAAAATAGTGTGTTTCATAGAGATTCGTACCAAATAACCACTATTATCCTTAGCCCTAGGAGTGGGCATAATACCGACCGAACCGAAAATTTCGGTTTATTCGATTTCGGTTTTTCGGTCGGTTTCGGTTTATAGTTTTAAAAATTTTGGTGTTCGGTTCGGTGATTGGTTTTAACGGTTCGGTTTTCGGTTAAACCGAAAAACTGAATTTCTTTACCTATTTTTTTTTACTCTTAGTCCCTTACCGTTAATGTACGTTAACTATTATTAAATGAGATATGTTTATAAAAGAAAACATAGAGTATAGACTATTTATAATAATAACCAAGTATAAGAATCATACTACAAACATTTTATACGAGATAAAAATAATATATCATAGGTGTAGAGAGAACAAATTTAAAAACATATGAGGGGCTCTTTTACGTCTTGTAATTCGGTTGACGCTCCTACAAATTGGATATTTTTTTATTTCATCTATATTAAGGTATAATTTTTTTATGTTGTCAGACCGTCATTTCATAAGTCATTATACAACATTAGCAGTATAATAGCAACGAGGGAAAGCTAAATATACAATGATTCAAATATGTTTAATTGTTCATTAAATTCGTAAAAGAATTTTTGAACTGTCAAATATGTTTTTGGTATTCTTTTTTAGTGTATCCATAACTCTTGCACAAAGATTCTTATCTTTTTAGTGTATTTGATGGGATTTCTTATTTTTTTTATTTTTTTCTGTCAACAAGTAATCTATTTTTGTTGTTTCGTTCTATTTTTGCCAGGACTTAAAATCGAAAAAACCGAACCGATTAAACCGAACCGAACATGAATAAACCGAACCGAACCGAACCGAAGTTATTATGGTTCAGTTTTGGTTATTAAAATCACAAACCGAAAACCGAACCAAAATTCTACAAAACCGAACCGAACCGAACCGACCGATGCCCACCCCTACTTAGCCCCACAGTGAGCGCCAAACTGTTTACCCGAAAAATGAATAGAGTTGAATTTATACGTAGTTCTAAGGATACGTGGTATAGCTTAGTACAAATCGAAAAAGTATGTAGAAAAATATCGAATATTAACTGTAAAAAAGGAATAAAATACAAACTAAACTCAGTAAAAAATGATTTATGAAAAAACAAGATGAATCAATGTACAAGGATCACAAAAGAATAATTTCTCCCGTATCTATATGTGAATATCAATAATATTTTCAATAAGGGAGTGTGTAGATGCCTTAATGTTCAATTGCTCCCTTACAGAAATGATAGCCCCTCTTTTATAGTGGAGGGATCCTACTTTGGATATAATAAAAAATTTATAGCGGGGATCCCATGATAGATTAGTTAATTTAGCTTTTCCTTAATTCCCGCCGAGATTCTCTCCCCAAGTACGGCTATAACGGCTCTTGTCTCTTAGCTCGATCTTGGTCGGACTTGATATTGGTCGATCTCCAGATTTCGAGCTCGATACTAACTCGAGCTCAATATTGACTCGAGCTCGGTATTGACTCGAGCTCGGATCTTGAATTCGATAATGTCACTTCACATCATAGTTCGATTTGGACTCGAGCTCGATAATGACTTCGAGCTCGGTATTGATCGGTCCCTGAATCTTGAGCTTGGTAACCTGGTTTCAGATCTCATATCGGTATTATGAAAACGATCCTCGGTCCATCATGTTCCAATCTTGACTAATTATATGAAGGGCAAAACCGACTTTGACCGTATACAGATGGTCCCCTAGTTTCTCGAGAAGAATGTGGCAAGAAACGGCATGATTTTCAAATGATACGACTAGATATACACTGACGTTTGCATCGAGCTCGACCATGACGTACGTGATAAATGTCCCGTCGGTTCAGTTACCAAGGCATTAAATATGTGTCAGTCGATGTTGGCCACTGCAAGTTTTGAACCGTCATTGTGCAACCTATAAATAGCCTCCTTATTGTTTCATATCAAACTTTTACTTTCAACTCTTCTCATTCTAAATTTTACGGTTCTTTGCCTTATGCAAAATTACCTATTTTCAAGTTCTTAAAATTTCTTTGCTTGTTCTTCACCAACCACAAAAAATATTTCAATTTTCCGTCTTCTTTTCAACTCTTTAAAATTTAGATGGCCAAGATATCTAAAATCATTCCTCAAAAAGAGGCTGCTTCCCCGTCTCGACCGACCGGTGAGAAACTGGTGGTGGAACCACACCTTGAAGAACTATTCCCGGGGGATGTGTTATTGATTCTGATTTTAAAGTTGATAAACCCTCTTCGGTTGTTGGTCGGTGCGAACCGGTATCGAGATACATATGCTCGATACCAGTAAGTTTCCTTGATGTGGTGAAGAAAGATTGTAATTGGGTAAACAAAGAGGTTATGATACCAGCACCGGAGGAATCGATCATTACCCACGTGGAAGGGTACCTGAGTGTTTATACTTATACTTTCACGTTGGGTCCCCTCGATCCAGTCATCATCGATTTTTGCAAGAAATATCAGATGACTCTCGGCCAAATTCATCCTTCTTTCTGTAGGATCGTGATCTCAATTCGTTTCTTTGTGAGTAAAATCGATGGGCTTTCATTTACCCTCGACCACCTTATAAGATTGTATAGTCCTCGACTTTACCGAGGCAGACTGATAAAGATTCAACGTCGTTCCACCAAGGTGTTTACGTCGAGCATAGATGAAGATAAGGATCGGGGTTGGATGGACCGGTTTATTCGAGTGAAGACCTCGGACCTGATCCCGGCAGAGAGCATGCCATTTCCTGAGAAATGGAATATGAAACGTAAGTACGATCCCATTTTAAATTTCTGTTTGTCTTACTTCTTCACCCTTTCTTATTAGTGTCTTTATCGATATAGCCGTTGCTTGGATGCCGGGTGCGATTCCTCACCTCGAGAACTGGGTCAAAAACCTGGTCTCGACGTCAACATTTGTCGAGCGCTCATGGCGCGATTTGTCGAAGGGTCGATGGGAAGCTCGTACTCATGGTAAGTTTCATCTTGGTTTACTGATTCATTTGTCATTCGAGGTGACATATTTACTCGAAGGATGAGTTTTACTTATCTTCTTCTTCCTTCGCAGGTCTTGGAAAAGATGCGGTCATGAGGCCCCTGACCGATGGTGAAGAAGTTTTACCGCTTGTCTCGAAGCCGTTGAAGGAAAATAAGAGAAAAAGGACTTCAGACCCCGTGGGTAAAAAAAAACCTAAGAAGAGGGCAGTTCGTAAGCCAATACCACTGACTATGGATTCGGTCCTACGTCTGAGGGAAGAAGAGGAAGAAGAAGAAGAAGAAGAAGGAGGCAACTTTGGGCTGGTGGCCCATGCACGGGCTGACACCGATATTGGTAAAACTTTAGGATCGGTAGGGACCGATTCTGTTTCTCCTAGGCCCGACAAGGTTGAAGAGAATACTTCGACCCAAGTTCCAGAGCAAAGGGGAATCGAGGACGTTATACTTCGGGGCAAAGAACTCGTCGAAGAGGCGGTTGACAAATATGCGGGGAACGAGCTTGAGGTTCCCCGAGATGGAGACAGTGCCTCGAAAAACATGATCGGGGGAATAGAAATCGGTGATTCCTCTTCTTTTCCTTCATTTTCCAAGTCTATGATACATGACGCCCAAGTCGTGAAGGTTTAGCATGGGGAGGGGGTCCATGGAGAGGAAGATCCTTTCCATGGTTATGTTTTTTTGGGATTGAAGATGTTGCCGGTCCGAGCGATTCAGAGGTTTTGAAGAAGAGCTCGGGCAAAGCGGGGATTCCTTGTATTTTCGATGAAGCTCAGCAAGCCCTGAATTGGGTAAGTTTGCTTTCCCTTTTTAATTTTCATACTTGTATTTTCTCTTTTGTATAACTCCTTTTTATCTTTTGTAGGCTTATTCGCTCTGTCACGAAGCGTTTTTCTGATCTTGAGAGGAGCTAAGCCGGTCCGAAACCGTAATTTGAAGGCTTACTGAGGATAGAGACACCTTCAAGCTTCTCAGTTAGCAGAAGGAATGAGAAGCAAAAGGACTTCGAGCCAAGCTAGAAGCAGCTAGGAAAGAACAAACCGACTTGTCTGAGCAGGCAAAGAGGATCCTTGAAGTTACTGATACTGATTTGGGCGTGACATCTAATAGTTCGGTCTCGTAGGTTCAGCAAAAGCTCGATGTGATTAGGCAACTTCGTGCTAAGGTAGACGTAGTGAAAGCGGGGGCCGAAAAATGGAAAAAAAACACGGATCACCTTGCCGCTAAAAGGGAGACCGCCCGGGCTCAACTGGCCTCGGCCGAGGAACAACTTCAGAGCTTGAAAGAAAGAGCCTTAGTGCAAGCCAAGAATATCGAGGAGTTCCAGTATCAGTTGGACTTAGTGACTTCTGATCGAGATAGATTGTCCTCGGAACTAGAAGGGGCCAAATCGGGGCCCGAAATAGCCATGGCTAATACTGAAGGCAATGGTGGTTATTTATCGATCCGATGCTGAAGCTGCTCAAGTTCGAGCAAAGGAGGTTGCTGAGGCTGCTCAAGCTCAATCAAATTGGGTTGTCGAGCATGCTAAATGCCAATCTCAAGGGAGACTCAAGAGAAGATCCATATTCGTGGCTTCGATCTTTCAGCCGAGATCGAGAATGCAAAAAAGTTTGAAACTGAATCCAGAGTGTTGGCCTTTCCCGATGATGATGATATCGGGAGTATGAGTGGTTCTGAGAGCGGAGGCTTCGAGGGTGAAGATGCCGCTCCTGGAGAGGACTAAGGTCTTTTAGAATTTTTCTTCTTCCTTTTAAGACTGTTTTGATCTTTTTATAGAAAAACTTGATCGGCCATGGTG